AATTAAAAAAAAAAAATATATATATATATATATATATATATATATAAAACAGTTATTTTAAATTGTAAAAATATTTTTTAGAATATAAATGTTTTACTGTATTTTTGATCAAAAAAATGTATCCTTGGTGACCACAAGACACTATCAAAAACATCAAATTTGACTTTTTTTTTGGAAAATTATATTTATGTGAAATGTATGAAAAATCTGGCTGGAGTTTACTCAGAAATGCTCATTTGTAGCATACACATTTTGCTCAAGTTGAATCAACTTGATTAGATGTGAGTTATATAATTTGTTTTAATGCTACCTTTAGTGTGGCATTAAATGCAGCAAGTAAATTTTGCATAAAAATAGGCATGTTTATGCTGAAAACAAAACAAAACAAAACAATGATTTAATTGAAATTCCCATACCGCTATCTTAATGCCTGGTTAAACTGGACTGCAGGTGGTTAGTGAATAAGAAACAGGTTTTTGCACGAAAATACAACTTATGAATATGAAACTGCTTAGTGCATTCGCTCCACTGACTCTTAAATGAATACAGAATACTACTTGTGATTTTAAGAAACTGTCAGATCTTGAGCCCTATATGGCTTAGGTATTAAATGTCCATTAAATCAGGCAGAAAGGCAGAAACCTCAGGACTGCAGCTACTTACAGAATGAGAGAATGAGAAAAAAGCAGTGTGTGTATGTGGGAATGAGAGAAAATAAAGGAGACGCAATACAATAGAGGAAGAAAAATCTACCTGGCTGCAACATGAGCAGTTTTTCATCTCAGGTCCTGACAGATAAACATGATGAATGAATGAGGGATAGGTTCATATCTACTTTATTCCACTCAGCTACATATCAATTCAAAAAATACAACTAAAAATATGTGCTATGACACAACAGTAAATATAAAAACAATGCAAATCTACCCACTAGCCAAAAAACTACACAGCTCAACAACAACAACAAAAAAGACTTGTCTAGTTAAATGTTAAACCAATTTTATATGATGACATCAGTAATAATAATCTTCTAAAAAAAACAGGAAGTGCTGTTTTCTGAGAGTCTTGAGATGTTATAGACACACACACAAACACTGCATTAAAATAAGTGGTCCTAAGTAAATTTTGCTTAACTGATTATTTTACACACACACACACACACACACACACACACACACACACACACACACACACACACGTGTGTGTGCGTGTGTATGTATCTATGTATAAATTAAACTATGATAGTTCTGTTTATAGTTCTGTTACATATGCTGTTTTGTTAAATTACAGTGTTTAACCCAAAACAGCATATGTTTTGGGTTTCTCATACACAGTACTTAACAAATGTGCAATATATAAAACCACATTTAATGGCTCTGTAAGCCTAAAAAAATACAACTAAAAATATCTGCTATGACACACCGACAAAAAAAAAAAATGCAGACCTACCTACTAGCCAGACAACCACACAGCTCAACAAAAAAGACTCGTCTACTGAAATATGAAACCCATTTTGTATGATGACATCAGTAATAAGCCGCTAAAAGACAGGAAGTAGCGCTGCTCTCTGAGAGCCTTGGCATGAATGAGCTGCTTCTACATAAAAAGGCACACAAACACAAACACTGCATACAAACACACTCCTGCTCGCCTCTTCATATTCAAGAGATCCAGCTGCAGCTCTCTCATGCAACCAGACTGAATAAATCATAATTGACATCCATTACGTCACATTCCTAATCTCTTTATAACCATTCAGCTAATGAATTTCACACTCC